TACATATTTTTAATAATATTCAATATATTGTATTATTTTTGCAATATTGGCATTCATTTTTATCTTATGAATTTTTATAAATATTTATTGTTAATTTATTTAGCTCTTTGCCAAATGTAATTTGCAATGCATGTGCGATTTCTTTTTATAGATATATCAGTAATGAGTATTCAAAAAATAAAAATACAAAGAAATATTTGTAGTCTGCATATTTCAAAGATTTCATATACCAAATTCGGTGTCTTTGATTTTCAAAATAATTATTTATGCCTACTAAACTTTATAAACCTTTTGAGATTAATATTAATAATGTTGATGCTAATAAGTAATATTTATAATTATATGTATATTGGCTTAAACCCGTATTTCTGTCTCTTGTAAATAATACGATACCATATTTAATCAGCTAATCTATTCATTTGAATTTCCAATAGATTCCCCTAGAAGAATTATCAACTTTCGAAATATGTTAAGATTCATGCGAATCAGTTAGGAAACACCAGTTTTCCCACCCGTAAGGCGATGCCTTAACGAGCTTTAATCATTTACCTACACGCATAAATCACCTATATTTACATGTTGCATGCAACTTGACAAAACAATGATGCCCCCATATACATATGAGGGGTAGATATGCAAGAACAAAAACAGAACATAAAGAAAAGGGAACGAGTTCGAGCGGCGTTTCATGTTACATCCACTGGGAACGATGGATGATAAGTGAGAACTCGAGCTGCGCATATAAATAAAGATTTCGTGTTTTTAGTATTGCTCTTCTCTCCCTCTCACTCTCTCTCCCGCTATGTATGCTTCTTTTTTTTCCAATACTTATTCTCAATTTGGGTGCGAGTGGCAGATAAGCTAAGCCGAATGAGTCAGCAGTGCGAAAGAGAGCGGCGACAATCGATCAATTTGCTTTTAATTGCCATTTGCATGCGTCTCTGTCTTTGAGCTAGAGGCTTGGGGCCTGGGGCTTGGGGCTACGGATTTGGCTTCGGATTGGGTCACACTCGTTTCTTGTGGCACTCAAGTACTTTTTTATAGCAACAAATTTTATTTCATATTTTTTCCTTTTTGGCAATATAAAAGCGCGCGCCCATTGTTTAATTAAGTTGACTTTGTTGAGCGGCTTGCTGCGAGCCAGCAGCACTTCAGATGCATGACAAACAGAACAGAGCGAGAGAGGTGTACACACACACACAGAAATTTACATACACACATGCATACATAGAGAACGCACACGAGACAATACACAGCCGAACTGCTGTGCGTGCCAAACGTACAGAAAGTCGCATGCATTTTCTAAGCATGCATGAGAATTGATCTTTTGTAGATCTTAAAACAGGAAGCAAATTGCCTGTGAATTATTGCTGCAGGTATACGGCGCAGTTTGGGAAAGACAGATCATATTTTAATTCCCTTTTTGTGTCATGCACGTGCGATAATTGGTGAAGAAAATAACATTAAACTTTTAAACCCTATAGGGATATAGAAACTATAAAATCCATTCTACAGTTCTTAAAGGTACTGCTAAGAATATTAACTTTTTAATTTAAAAATATAACTAATATTATAAAT